ATATATGTTTTGTGTTGAAATGCAACAAATAAACCAAACTATATTGAAAAAAATATTAATCTATAAATTACATTGAAAATAAAAAACACTAAGAGTAATATCATAAATAAATAAGTGATATTAATAGTCATGCACATATTGTATTACATCATAATTATTTTCAATTGCATATATATAACAATACTCACCATATTTTAACACAATGGGTCAATTCACTGAAGGGATAAAAATGGTATGGGTTCCACGGACCTAAAAACAAAAAAATAATAAATATATTTTTTAGATTATGAGAAATCGAATTGCAACATCTTAACTTTAGGAGAAATGTTACAAGGTATGTATTACCACAGATCATATAGGATCTGTGACATTAATAAACTCTAAAGAGAAAATGCTCAATTATTCAATTAAATAATGTATTTTTTTTTAATAAATAGGTATGACAGTAAAACAGGACTTGGCGCCATTATATTCAGTGTCACGTCTGTTTTAGGACCACTAAAACTTTGATAGACGCGAAGGCAGATCATGCGCATGCTCTCTGAATTACGCGTATTTAAAAAAACCACTTAAATTTAACTACTCGTTTAATTACGGCAATCAGTCAAATAAAGTCTCTTCAAACAAAAATAAGATAATCCTCATTTCATATAGGCCTATGTGGTTTTAAAATCCGGAAAAACACTATCAGATATGTCAGACTACAGTAAATGTTTGATCACACTTTATCTGATGGCGTTGTTTGTTCCAACATCTGGTCCAACAAGTTATATGACTGAGCAGCTTTAGCTCAGTCGGCTAATCTGGTGGTAGCCACTGTGTGTGTGCTGAACCGTGAAGATCTCTAGGTCCCCGGTTCAATTCCCATCGCTGCCTCTCCTTGTGTTTCAGCTAGAGGGCTGAAATACAAGTTACATAGCGCACCGTCTTTCGGATGAGACGTTTAAGCCGTTGGTTCCGTGTGCATTTATGGTCTATGTGCACGTTAAAGAACACAGTACACTCTTCGGAAAAGAGTAGGGGATTGTCTCCCGGTGTATTGTCCAATCACCACCAGAAGGACCCCACTGGAAACAAGTCTTCATCTAGACTTTCACTTTCGTGGGCTATCCTTGATGTTTACACTGAATAAGTCCAATCCAATCCAATCCAATCCAATTCCATTTGTAATGCGACAGTTCATTAGTGAGAGGAAGCCTGAACAAATACATTGTGTGTTAAATCTGACCATGGAGCTATGAGACTTCGTATAATGCGCCTTATATAAGTCGAATATTGGATTGGATTGAATGAAATTAGCGCATGCGTTCCAGAATAGAAGGCAAATATTTGAACCAGAGTGTTTCTCTTCACCATGGCAACGTGTTGCCACTTTATCTAATTTTCCACCTTTATGTGCACTTAGAGGTAAGTTACCATAGTACAGTGGTTATCATAGTTGTGCGAGTATTCATAGGAGATTTTTAACTGGTATTTTTATACATTTTCTCATCCAGGTTATACAGATAGCTATTATTAAGACAGATTATTATTAATACGTATAGAGGGCATCATCGAAATAGCCTGGTTCCAGTTTTGGATACTCAGTATATTTCTGAGGTCCAGAGCAGATCTAAATTGGATCAAAACAAATTTACTAAAAGACGGCTGTCATAGTTAGCAAGAGTTGAGAAGGGGAACTCGGTTGACTGGTTGGAATGTGCCAAGTGATGAAGGTGGGGGTGGTGGACTAAAACATAACAACCCTGAGGGGAATTTGGAGAATCTTAAAGATAATTATAGATTTGACAGGAAGATTATGCCTAGTTGGTTGAAAATTGGTGTTGTGCATTTCTGAAACAAAAAAGAAGAACGTTAATTTCAGGGAGTAACCTTTCAAGGAAACATCACTGCTTCTATGTTTTTCAAGATATTGAAAACGCCTGAAGTATTTTTATTTTATTTTGATTGTTTTTATATTACTATCATTATCATTACCATAAATATTGAACTGGCTTAATTGACATTTTTGTTAGTAGTCATAATTTTTATTATTATTATTATTATTATTGTTATTATTATTATTATTATTATTATTATTATTATTATCTTTATGCCTTTATTTTCTTTGAATAGGCCTTTGCTAAATTCGGCCAGTACACTATGTAAATAATGCCGTGCACGATGGGAACAAACAGAGAGAGAAAGGTGAAGATTAAGTGATGAATAATTGTACATTGTACTATATAAATGTATTATGGAGATAGACTTTATGAATCGTTGACACACGCTTCAAGGTCGTCTGACGTAACAGCGATCACGTTCTTGGCAATAATTACAAGATACACGTTCGCAATCTACTCGTATGTCGTAGGCCTTGTCCTACGCATTATCAGATGAATAAATCACTTAACTCAGATCTATAATGATGTACTAGATTCTAGGATAGGCTAATAATGTAGGCCTACTCCCCATTCATTTGTGTAGCAGAACGGATTGGTACTAAAATAGTGATAGGCATAAATAAAATACATAGAAGAGCGCGTTCATGATTATTCATTCATCTTATAAATATATCTATAGACCTAAATAATATACATCTTTAAGTATCTACTTAAGTATTTAAATTCCAAAATTTGTCTTATGTCTCGTAAAAATGGAGGAATACTTCACTTATACTACTAATACAGTATTTACGTTTGTGAATATTATTATATATACAGTACATGAAATATTGCTACTGAATAAAAAGTCCAGTAGAAAAAATGTATTTAATTCCTTGTACCGATAATACGGTATTTAGTTTTAGAATAGAGATTTATCGCATTCGCGTATCAGGTCTATCGTTGGCCCTACTCGACGGCGTAAATACTGTGAAGTATTGAATAGATAGTCATGCTTTTATTAATATCGGTAAGTAGATCCTAACAAGATTATTATCTTATTCAAACCCTCGCCCTGTTATGTACTGAAAAAATAATGGCCCGCAGGTCGATCCGAACCGATCTACCAAATGAGACCAAGCTCGATTTAGCACTGTCAGTTACGGCCGAAAAATATATAAATAACGTTCTAAAATCTGCATCTTACTTCCAATCAGCACAAAAAATCTGAAGGAAATCAGTCCACTAGTTTTTTTTAGTTATGCGCCCACATACACACTATTAATAAAATTTTGAGTCCGCCGTAGCTCAAGTTGGTCAATATTTCGTTTTCCATTTATTTCTTGAATGATAGACTTAAATTGTTTTGTCTACTCATACCGAACTATCAAGACATAACAAAAACTTATAGATGGGTATCCATAACAAAGTAAACTTTGTATCCGGATGTAATGATGGTAATGATGGTTTGTTCAACACCATGTTCCCAGTGAGAACATCAATGAATCATTCTTACAGTACACTTGGTTTTCATCTAACGTTTGCATTTCTGATCTTTCTAAATCATCCATTATCCAAAGAGCCAGATTAACGTCCAGTCAATCAATAAGTAAAGACAGTTCCATAAATTGTTGGCTAAATTGCGTTTAAAAATACGGTATATAGATAATAAAATAAATCTTAATTGTATACATTGATCCCATGAACTACGGTACTGCTTTGAGTCGCGTCAGTGTTTTCTAGAGAAGCGTGGTGGCGCTAATTCAAAAGCTGGATTTGAACGTCCGGATTCAGTGTGAAGTACAGAATGTTCCGCCGATCATACGGATTGCTAACATTACATAATTGCTGATGTTACAGTGATTGTAGTGTCCTTGGGCAATGCTGCATACATCGAGCAAGATGAGTTTCTCTTACCGTAGGTATGACGTCATCATGAATAACCTTATTCAAACCATTATATCTGCTAAATTATCATCTATAAACTCTGCATATTATGTTTACCCGATAACGCTTATATTTGATTTTCCTCAGTAATGTTTCATTGAAATGCATAGAAGTGATATTATTAGTAACAGTAAATAGAGAAACATCAATGTACAATTAATATTTATAACAACATTGACAATGGAATTAATATTAATAATAATTTATATCACGTAATGTTACCATGACAGTATTAATTCATGCCAATAAAAGTGCATAATTATGAATAAGTACGGTGAGGTTAATATTACTATTATTAATACTATAATAATAATAATAATAATAATAATAATAATAAATAATAATAATAAAAATAATAGTCATAATACAAATATTAAAAATATATTAAATAGGGTTATTATTAATAAACTAATAGTATAATAATAATGATAGCGACAAGGATGATTTATTTCAGTTGTATGGGTTAAGAATATATAAAACAAACGCGAACACATTTTGGCGCACTCGCTCTCTGAGTGCCAAATACTAAATGCACGCATCCGAATTACAAATCGAGGGGTTACGAACTTGACCACTAGAGGGCCGGACCATACATTACGAGCATATAATGGTAAATATATTGGAGTACAGAGTTCACTAAACTGACGAAAATTGTCTATTTTGGGGGTGGTTTGTCGCTAGGAATATTCCACTATCAATATTATTGTTCAGCAATTTGTCCATTATTTTCTGCATCCCCGCATCACTGACATTAGATGGATACGGTATTCCCATCGATGACGCAACTATGGTCTGAATTTCAGATTACTGTTTTTGATTGGAGTTATTGATTTGATTTTAAACGCATAGATCAGCTAGTGATAGGAAGAACATGGGCTACCTAGACTAGTTGCCTTCTCAGATCAGACGAGAAGCCGTCGAATCAATATGACAAGTCAGTGGTAACAGCATTACATAGGAAATCGCTAGAGATGTGTGAACTCGCGTTTCAGATTATTCATGGCTTACCTGATCAGGAGGAGTGAAAGCGAACCGTGTCTAATAAAAGTCTACGTCAATACTATCCTAGGCATCGTACGTTTAGTTAATATCCACGATTCCAAACGATATGAACAGGCAGAATCGAAGCATGCTGAGTATTAACAACACTGCTTCACGGAAGAGAATGACTAGAAAAAATGGAGATGCCAATTAATACCATAGTTTATTAACATTTTCCTCACGGGTGCATTGATGCGTAACATGTTCTAAACAACACTGGCACTCGGAATCATCGCGTAGACGTCATGCTTACGTTTGTAGCGTTGCCATGGTCGTATAACGACAACCTCCTTTCAATTCCTCTCGACTTGAAGACTCTCGTTACACTCAATATCATATCCGAAACGTAACTTTATATAAATAAATTCGATGCTAAAATCAATAAAACAAAACGCATTT